AAATTTTGTTCAAATATAATGTCTAATATTTATGTATGAATAGATTGATACTCTAATTATAGTCTCTATGTAAAAACATTGAGGCATGTTGCTAATTTCTGTTTAGTTTGTCAAATTTTTGAACAAAGTAAACCTCACAATCTTTAGCTTTAAAAGTACTATTTTGCCCCTCTTCCTTATTTCTTTGCCATTCATTAATGGAAAAATGTGTTTTTTTTTTCGCTCTGAGATACATTAAAATCAATTAGTTTGACATAAAAAATAAAAAAAATAAAAATATATATATTATATTAATCAAATTGATGAATGTGCTTTCCTGTTTCTCCTCTCTCTCTATGTACCATGCATTGAATTCTACTTTGTTATAAAGGTGTTAATTTTAAAAGATCATCTCTGTTATATGAATTATTCCATGATTGATTCTAAGACTTAAATATTAAATTTGATTCATAATTAATTCCTACCTACCCATCAAATTATGAATTTAATTCTATAGGTTGACTTGGTATATTAGATAAAGCTCATATAACAAGTGGTTATAGTTGAGTTATAGATGATAACATCATTCATAAATTAAAGGAGTTGTGGATTTATAGCACCCTACAAAATTTATTATCTTTATCATCATCATCATTGTTATTATTATTATTTTAAAATAATTTTTTATTTTTTATTTTTTATATTAAAAATTTAAAGGTAATTTATTTGCTATATTAACTTTAAAAAATAAAAAATAAAGAGAGATATTTTGTGATACAATGATTAATAAAATAAATAAATAATGATAAATTTAAAATAAAAAATATATATTTGGTTATCTTAACAAATGAAGAAAACATTTTCTAATTTTTTTTAGTTGTTACAATCTCTTAATGTATATAAATTAACTTAATATTTTTATATAACAAATTAATGATAATAAAATAATTTTTTTAATTTAAATAAAAATACTCAATAAAAATTAAGTATAAAAAAATTTTATTTTTAATTTATTTGTTATATATAATTATCTAATTAAATTTTATTTAAAAATTAAATTAATTTATAACACGTTTAAAATAAAAATAACAATTATTTTAATATAGGTAAAACCCGTTATTTTAGAAAGAAGAAATTTTAAGGTTAAATGCTAAATTTGGTCCCTCAACTTTAGTGAGTTGCA